TTCTGCACCAAAATTCCATAGGGGTGAGCATAAAGCCCAGTAGAGAATTCTTAACAAAGTATATACATTTATGTAAGATTCCCAATATGAAATGCGGATGACATGCTATGCCTTGTAAAAGAAGACTACATTTACATCCTTTGAAAACCACCATGCTCAATGTTAACTTGATATCTCAACAACTCGGAAATTTACAATTTAGTTCAATGGGGCAGAAAATATGACTCAGGTAATCCCTAGGTTGGTGTCTGCAAGTAGGCATAACTAGCACTACCAAAACCCCACTTCACCGGTTGCTTACCAGAAGGGAAATGATACCTCCTCCGCATCTGTTTTCGGCTTTTCACCCTGGACACTCAGGCCAACTTAATTTATTTTGTCTACACATCCTATCTGGACTTACCAACGTATTTACCCCAAAACATTTCAATAGTTCTCATTTCAAAATATTCCTTTTTCAATATAACGTTTCCAAACTCAATTCAAAATGTATAATAATCAATTGAATGAGTATGTAATGCAACAATTATCAATGCCTCATAACATTTCTCCATTTTCGAGTATCTCAACAATAATGCCATAACAATCACATTTCCCATTTTTCTCTTTTCAATGTCATTTCTCGCAAAATAACTACATGTTCAATTTAAATTTATCAACAAGTGGCAACATTTCCCCATCTTGTACAATTCTCAACAATTTAGTCATTTCATAACTACATTACATTTTTGGGCAATAACCTCTCAAAATCCCCAATTGTCATATTCCAAAGAGAAATTTACCCTTTGCCAATTAAAAGCAAGAAGTTTTCCAATCATTCTTTTATTTTAACAAGATGATATAAAAATTCCCACATGTTTTCGACATCTTTCACAAAGTCTAAAATTTCTAGGTTTTTGCCCAAAACCAAACATTTGTTCATTTTTCACAAGAAATCTCTTCCTAAAGTCCCCATTTCCACTATATAGTCAAGTTCTCTAGTATGGCAACAAAAACAAGAGGTAAACCCATTTTGAAATCATCACTACAAATAAACCAAAACAAATTCTTATACTACCCAAAAGAGTTCCAAATCAACATAATCTTGGATGATATAAAAATTCCCACATGTTTTCAACATCTTTCACAAAGTCTAAAATTTCTAGGTTTTTGCCCAAAACCAAACATTTGTTCATTTTTCACAAGAAATCTCTTCCTAAAGTCCCCATTTCCACTATATAGTCAAGTTCTCTAGTATGGAAACAAAAACAAGAGGTAAACCCATTTTGAAATCATCACTATAAATAAACCAAAACAAATTCTTATACTACCTAAAAGAGTTCCAAATCAACATAATCTTGTAAAAACATATATATAACTCAAAGAAAACCGCTACCTCAATCTTGTTGAAGAGATGAGATGAAACCCTAAAATCAAAGGTTTAGAACTTCGATCTCCACCACACAAAGTGAAGTCCTTGCTTTGTTCTCCAAAACTTGTGAAAGATTAAGGATCAAAACCCAAAGGATTGCAAGAAATCAAGGGTTTTTAGTGTTTGGTGAGACTTTTTAGAGAGGAGGAGCAAAAGTGCTTTTAGAGTGAGAAAGGAGTGTTTAAAAGTTACATACACTCAGCCAAAAAGAGAAGAAAAAAAAATAGAGTTTTTGGACTCAGCCCGTCTTGCACATGCGGCACTTGCTCCCGCACGTGCGAAGTGTACTTCCCGCACATGCGGCCCTCACCCTCGCACGTGTGGCTCTCCCAAACCGCACCACATCCTACGCCTACATATAATGCAGTGAGCAGCCCAGAATTCGTCTGATTTCCGCACGTATGACCTTACCTCCCGTACGTGTGGCCTTGGTCCTCCAACCAAGAATTTTCTTAGCTTAATTCTAGACATTTCGGACCAGCTTTCACATCCTTCGGAACAAGTGGAACTCAACACCGGAATAACACGAACAAAAATCTTACGGAAAAACTCCCGAAGACAATATACCCAAATGATTAACAAAGTCCTAAGTTAAATCGACACCTCAACGAGACAAATCCAAAGTTAAATGAGGGAAAACGAAACGAGTAGCACACCCGGTCATCACAGATCCAATAACTGCAACTTATTTACTTTATTATTTTTGTCATAAAAAAAAATGTACGGTTCATTTGTTAAGGACACAATTGTTGTCCATTTTTTTAGTGAAAAACACTATAAATTGAACAAGTTATGTAACACTCCGAAATAAACCCAACAAATCTATTACATCAACCCACTTCCAAAATGAGATATTGACCAAATTCATTTACATAGCCCCAATGTCTACCAAAGTGTCCTCACATACCATTATATATTTATTTACACACTAGTACATGAATCTATTACATGTAAAAGAATTCATTAAATCATAATGAACAAGGCCCTCAAGGGGCTTACAAATTCCAAGGCAATAGCCTGGTTACACATATTGGTCTCTCGGACCCAAACACCTTAGCCCTTGGCTTACAAAAAATATCACAACAAATAAGAGTTAAACTACTCTTCTTCAAAATATTTTCACGCCCTTAGCTTTGCGGGATCACCACATCTTTACCTACACCAAATCCCATAAGGGTGAGCATAAAGCCCAGTAGAGATTCCTCACAAAGTATATACAGTTATGCATTTTCCTCAACACAAAAATAATAAATGCAATGCCATGCCAAAGTTAATAAATGAGTAAAATGTTCAATTCACCATTTCAAAACCAACATGTCCTCGATATCATCTTGTAAGCTCATCAATAGGGGTGGTAAATACGACGCTGGTAATCCCTAGGCTAGTGTCTGCAAGTAGGCTCTATAAGCACTACCAAACTGTCATTTTTACCGGTATTAATCGGAAAGCTCGACACCTATCCGCGCGGCTGTTGGGTCTTTCACCCTGGACATTCAGGCCAACTTATCAAATTCACCTACACCCCCTATCCGGACTTTCCAACGTATTTACCCCATACACATTTCCATTAGTTCTCATTACACTGATCTTTCCCAAAATGAATGCTTTTCTAACTCATGTTATGATATGCAATAATGACATTAAAACAATTGAGAATATGATGCAATAACTACTAACTCATAGCATTCTTTTATATTCAAAAACATGTCTACAACAATATTCAACATCACATTTTCATTTCCTCCGTACCATACGCCTCCAACTCATAATTACCACTTCTCATTTCACACAATAGCCTGGTGTCTCCGACACACCACACAATTCCTCAACATTAATTCATCACGACCAAACTTTCAATATGGCTAACATGCCATCATTCATTTCACTTTTCCATTACACTATGATTAAGCGTTTTCACATCACTTATGGCACTCAACAACTTGCCATCTACCACTTCATACAAATATGCAATAATCAATGAATTTTAAAAGAGGACATAGTCTCCAACACATATATACATCATGAAGTTGCTATTTTGTTAGACATTTGGTAAGACTTACTCTCATACTTCCTCTTGATACAAGAAAATAAATAATTTCAAGGCATCTTCATCATTTTTCAAAAAGCCTCAATTTCTAGGGTTTCCATTGAAAGCAAAATTTCATCATATCTAAGAGAAACTCCATCAAAATCATTCATCATGAGTTTTATAGAGGGAAACCCCCAAGAAGTGGTAAAAGATAGAGATTCAAACCCTTTTTCAAGACTCTCAACATTTTGAAACCAAAATCTAAAATTTAGCACAAAACTACAAGAATATTTTTAAATCAACACCCAAATAGCAAAACTATATATATAACTCAAGAAATCCCTACCACAAAGCCTTTGAGAAGATGGAAAAGAGAAACCCTAGCTTAGATGGATGAGAGAGCTTTGATTCCAACACACCAAGTGAGCCCTAACCATGGATCTTCAGGGGTGGTTTGGCATCCCCTATATAATCCATCTTTTTATCTTTTTTCATCACATCACCTTTCTACTTTTTTGCACATCTTTTCGTAAAAAGACAAAAAGTGCACTTATTTAGATCATCCCAAACAACCCCTTAGAGGGAGAAGATGAAGATGAAGATCTTGACCCAAGGATCACAAAAATCAAAGAGTCTTAGGTGATTGAGGTGTTTTCTAGAGAGAATAAGGAGAGAAAATAGGTTTAGAATGAGAGAAAAATGAGTTAGAGATGATATATATTCGGACCAACACGTTTTAACAAAACAGGGCACGAACTGCCCAATTGGCCACTCGTGCGGCCTTCCCCACCGCTCGTGCGGCCACCTTGACTGCTCGTGCAGCCTATTTTCTCCGCTCGTGCGCCCTTAGACAGTATGCAATTTCTGGGTCCAAGCCTCCACCGCTCGTGCGGCCATACCTGCCGCTCGTGCGGCCCATTTTCGCACGTTCAGCCTAGGGCCCCGCACGTGCAACCCAAGCCCAGCCACCAAAAATTTTTGCTTCGATCCCGGCACTCCGGACTCACCCGTACGCCCTTCTAAACAAGCGAAATCCAACACCGACAAAAACAAGAACTAGAATATTAACCTGGGAAACCTTTTCTGGATGCTTCAAACCCAACGAAGGCAAATAGAAAATGAAGCGAAGAAAGAAAGAGGAAGGGAAGGAACCCGGCCATCACAAGTTACCACTATAACAAAATTAGGTCTTTACGGCACCAAATACACGTCGTGGATACGATTCTATGACGCACGAGGTAAAGTCGTGTTATGACCAGTCATGAAAAGTTATTCACTTCAGCGGCATATCGTAGTACGCCATTAAAAACCCTTTAACAGCGGATTTTGTGCGCCTTGTTTGATTTCTCTACAACTACTTTTGCATGACATAAATCCCTGTCACAAATCACAACTCTCATTGCTCGTCGTAAAATATGAAATACAACAACCCATTATGCTTGCCATAGAATATACTTCTTTTTTTTTTTTTTAATTCAGCAAGTTCTACTTGACCTGTTTTGTACAATCTAACAAACATTACAAACAAGCTTCACAAAATATCAATCAACTACCAAAATATTGTTTCAAGCATAAAAAAGAAACTATATTCATAAATTATGAACATTCAACAATTGTCTATACATTCCAAATATTCAAAAACTATATCCTTAAGTTCTAAACTGTATAAAGAGCAAAAATTGTGCATATCTAGGTTTTTAAACATATCCAAAACTATTTAGAGATTATCCAAAACTACTGGCAACAGTTGCAGCTGTAGCAAACCCGCTTGCTCCTATCACAGGGACGAGGGTGCGCAATATATGTGCTAAGGCACCTAAACCCGCAACAGTAGCTAGAGCAGCTAACCTCGTTGCTAATAAAATATGAATTCATTAGGAAAAAACACTCATGTCATTAGAAGCTTGTTCGCCTATGGAATTTAAAATGTTCAAAAGCCTAAGCTGAAGATGTCATATCACTAGTAATTGCCATTAAGGTTCCTCTAGTTAATGCAGCTGCACCTATTATACCTCCACGATTCCACTTGTCCCAAGAGCTCTCCAGTGATTGGTTATTTCCTCCTTTTTTATTGTTCTCTTTTTGCTAAAGCCATTGCAAAGCAAGCAACCATAATTTCCATGGCTTCCTACAAAAAAATAAAATAAAATTCTCTTTAGTGAGGGTAAAAATCTAAAGTTGAAAAAAAGAAAATTTCTTGAGTAAGAGAGCAAAACAAAGGGAATCAATAAGAAACCAAACACTTATATGTTTCTTTTTCTGCATCATTTAACATCATTTTCTGAAATTATGATTACTGACTTTATGCTAATTTTGATACATTTCATCCAAATTCAATTATCTCTTCCTAAGTACAATACGGTGACTGATAATTTGCTACTTTGACAATCTTTGGGATGGTAAAATTCTAAATGTGATGTATGCAAACTTAAAGGGGTTTATAGGTATTGGAAGATTGGAACAACTAAGCCTATTCAAATTCTATACATAACTACAAAACAAAATGATTCGTGAATAGGATCAAAACATACTCTACTTGAGCGAGACTCAAATCATTTGTGCTCCACAGCTTTGCTACCCTACACATGCCCAAAGAGAACTAGTCCTACTCAAATCACTAACAAAACCTGCATAGAGAATGAAATTCATTAAAAATTAAACAAGCTGACATCATTTAAGAATAAATAAATAATTCAATTTCCAAGCTAATTCAATTTCCAAGCCAATAGTTGATACTTTTTTTTTTTTTTTGATTAGTAAACTAGAATCTTCATTGATGGAGAAAACATGCATTACATATGAGATTACATCAATAAAAAAGGGGAAAAAAAAGAAATAAAGAAACAAATCACAATGTTGGTGAGAAGCCAACACTAATTGAACAAAGCAAAGAAACAGTAGCAACAACAACAAACATTAGCAGCAGCAGCAAAGAAAGTAGAACATCACAATATATTAGCAGCAGCAGCCAGCAACATACATTAGCAGCAGCAAACATACATTACATCAATACAGTAGCTTCCACACTTCTTCTATATCCGACAGCAGCAGCCGCCACACCCAACAAACACACCACACCCATTATTCAAACCAACAGCAGAGGAACAAAGTAGAACTACACTTGATGTAGAACTTCAACAAAGCATAGGAACAAAATAGCCACACAACCCACCAGGCCTTCAACAACCTAATCTATATAACATCACACAAGCGTTCAACAACCACCCAAAGCCGAGAGTTACCTAGAAAAGACAAGGACAAGACCTTTAAAAACAAGTGAGACAAACTACCAAAACTTGATTGGCTCCATGTTAGTTACAAAATATGCCTGCAAAACCAACATGATATTGTAAATTTGTCAATTAAAGCCCTTCAAATTTAGAAAATGTCATTACCCAACTTATGGGTAAATTACATAACAAAGCTTGACTATGCCATGTTCTTTTTTATTATTAATAAATTGCTCTACTTAACTATTATCTACCTGCCACTAATTTATGAGTTTCTTGGGTTCTTAATCCATAATTTCAACATTGAATGACATTGGTCCCTTTAGGTATCAATTCCCATAATAAGACACATTGCCTCTGCCTTTTTTTTTTTTAACAAAACATTGCCTCTACTTTAGAACACCATTTCAAAAAACAGCAACAAGTCATATGATGGTTCCAGCAACTAAGTTTTCCAAAAGCATACTATGTTTTCCAAAAGCTATCAGACATCAAACATTTATAACAAGTGCAATATCAAGTTCTCATTTTTGTTTCACATTACCGTAATAGTCTATATTCCAATTACCATTATGCCAGAAAGAGGAAGAAAATTTACCTTCGGTCCCTTCACAGTGAAGTAATCACCTTCACCCTAAGGCCCCGTTTGTTTCCAGAGATAGAATGGAGGGGATTAATAGTGAGGAGATTGTTAGTGAGGGGATTAATAGTGAGGGATTGATAGTGAGGAATTGTTAAATTATTTTTATATAAAATAATAAAACAAATAAAAAAAATAAAAAATTAAACATTATATTTTAAAAAAAATCCTAATATAAAAAAAATAAAAAAAAATTCTAATCCCCTCACTATTTTTCTAATACCATCTCTACCTCCTCCTTACCAATCCCCCTTCCTCCTCCTTACTAATGCCAAGAGATTACTAATTCCCTCCCTATCTCTCAAAACAAACACCCCATTCTCAATCCCCTCCTCACTACCAAACCCAATCCCCTCCCTATAACCCCAAACAAACGGGGGCCCAAAATGGTAGCACATCCTTCCTTGTGGATACGTCTAATTAATATCAAGATTCAAAAACCCAAAAGCAATCTAAAAGGAATGAAAACTAGATAAAACTAAATCAAAAGTAGTAAATAAACTAGTGGAACATTTTAGAGATCATATACCTTTATAACAAGTTCAAAGTAACCAACAAGTTCACCTTGACTATCATTTCCTATATTCGAGAAAACAATGAAGAAGACCCTAATTTTAAAACCAAAAGAAGAATCGAAGAACAGAGAAGGATCGAAAAATAGAGAAGAATACCCTAATTTTTGAGTTCCTTAATCAAAATCCTTATTTTTCAACGGAAATCCCCAAATCAAAACCCTACTTTGAATCTTCAAACCCGATTTAAGAGTGACAAAATCTTAATTTTTGGGTTCCTCAATCAAAAGCCTAATTTTTCAATAGAAATTCACAAATCAAAACCCTAGTTTGAATCTACAAACTTGGTTTAAGGGTGACAAAACCCCAATTTTTGAGTTTCTCAATCAAAATCTTAATTGTTCAATAGAAATTCAAACCTACTTTTAAGAGTGACAAAATCTTAATTTTTGGGTTCCTCAATCAAAATCCTAATTTTTCAAAAGAAAATTCACAAATCAAAACCCTAGTTTGAATATGCAAACCTGGTTTAAGGGTGATAGAACCTTAATTTTTGAGTTCCTCAATCGAAACCTTAATTTTTCAATAGAAATTCCCATATCAAAACCTTAGTTTTAATCTCCAAACCTTGTTTAAGGGTAGAAGTGATATATTTTGCCGAGTCTCTCGTGCATTCGTCTCTTCTGTCTCCTTCTAGCCATTTTCTCTCTCATCGTTCTCTCTTCTCCTTTGGTTTAGAGCTCTCTCTCTCTCTCTCTTTGTTCTCTGCGTTTTTCTTTGTTCTTCTCTCATCCTGCTTTCTTTGTTTTTTCTCTTGGAGTCAAATTTTCTCTTCTGCAATTTTCTATGTTCGAAGAGTTAAAGAGTGTATTTTGATATATATATATATATATATATTTCTAATATATTTTTTGGTGTTTGGCACCAAATTGTTTTGTTTTTTGTTTTTTTTGTTTGTTTTTTTTTTTTTTGGTTGTTGAGGCTGAAGAGTTAGGGCTTTTGATTGTTTCTTCTTTTCTTTTTTCTTTTTTTAAAAATTTTTTGGTGTTTGATGCTAGAAATTTTCATTTTGGCGCTACTTTTTTTTTCGATCATACCTTTCACGACAGCAATTGCGTGTCGTGGAAAGTGCAATATTTTAAACGGCTCACTTTTTGTGCATCGTGAAAAGTACAATTTTTAATGGCTGGTTTTTTGTGCACCGTGAAATGTTCAATATTTTTAATAGCTTGACAGCATGCCATATGCACGTCATAGAAAATTTTATTATTTACGACTAATATTGCAAGCCTTAAAAGAAATTATCGTTATTAGAATTCACGACCTACGCAATAGACACGTTGTGGTTGGAAAATTATTTACGACATGCAAAAAAAACAAGTAATAAAAGTGAGAAACCACAACTTGCATTTACTGTATGTGGTTGCTATGAAATCGTAAAAACCCAATTTTGTTGTAGTATACACTTATCGGATCGACCTAATTTTTGTGTGAATGAAATACTTAAAAAACTCAACAAAATAAACGGTTTGGATTATCGAAACATGGCTCATAGTGAGCCCCACGAGACCAAACAACCCCCTCCAATCTAGATTTTGGACTGAAGGGAATCTTCCTCCAATGTGTGTATATATATATATATTGTAGATTTATTATTAGCAATATTTTTGTGAGTAAATTTTATGGTATGCAGTATTAATGTTGTGATGATTATACTTTTCATATTAATTGTGGCATTGGAGAATATTTTAAAAAATTTAAAAATTTTGTATTTTAATTCATATTTTTTTATACAAAATATACAATTATTTCAAACTTATTAATATGTTCATTAAGAATACATACGTTAACAAAATCTCACATTTTTTGTCAAACTTTTTTATTATGTAGGCCTCTTTTGGGAACCAGTTTATAAGTTAGTTTATTGGCTTATTTGAGTCAAATTATCTTTTTATTTTTTACACATTTTTTTTCGTAATAAGTTAAAAAATCAGCTTATAAGCCACTTCTCAAAACAATTTATAAATTTGTTTATTATTACATTGATTTAATGAATTGCAACAAAAATTTTGATTTTTAATTTAGTGGTAAATTGGCCCCTTCAAAGATACTAGAGAAATTACCTATTAAAAGATTAATGGTCTCAAATTGCCCCTTAAATTTAATACACTTCAAGTAATATCTCGTTTTGACAAGCCTCCATTCATATTTCCGTTAGCTTTATGGATGGAAATTTGTTGAGAGATGATATTATTTCAAGTATCACTACAAGAAAAAGCATTTTTGTCGACCACTTTTAGCTACCAAAACTAATTTAGTCGCCAAAAGTCACGAAATTGGCTACCAAAAATAATATTAGTCGGCAAAAGTCAGCATTTTAGCTACTAATTTTTTTTAGTAGGGGAATGTTGATTATTGGCTACTAAAAAAAATTTAGTAGCTAATGATATTACAATTGGCGACTAAAACAATTTTTAGTAGCTAAACATATGACAATTGGCGACTAAATAAAAATTTAGTAGCCGTAGAGGTACCTTTAGCTACTAAATTGTTTGGTAGCCGAATGAAAATACAAAAAACAAAATATCACATCCAACCCATAATCATTACATTATTCTCTCACAAAAAAAGTCAAAAAGCCAAAAAGCCCTTCCTAAACCAAACTTTTTAGCCCAGGCTAAAATAGCTAAAAAAGCCAAAAAGCCAACTCACTTCCCAAACGGAGGCAAAAAGTACGAAGTTTATTAAGGAAAGTTATTGGGGAAATTACACCACATTAACATCAACACAAAAATAAAATGTGAATTACACTAACGATTCCTGTAGTATGAAATCTGTATCACTTTAATCCCTAATTTTTCAATTATAATATATTTGATTATAAATTTTGAATCTGGTTCCAAATAAGGGTAATTGAAGATACTATTTCATTTTCAAACTAAAAATGCTCCATTTCAAGGACAAAGTCATAAATTTGATAAAATATAAACTAATTTGACAAAAATAGATGTCAAAAAGTTATTTTTGAATTTTTAAAAATTATTTTTACCCACCAAAGATAAAATTATATAAAAATGATAAATCTTTTATATTTTTATATTTTATTTTTTTTACCAAAATAATTTTTAGAATGTGTTTTGGATGATAATCATGTAATGTATGGTTGCTTTTGTTGATATTTGTAGATGGTTATCATGTACTATATGATTGTTTTTGTTGTTGACAGATATTTTTAAATGGTTATCACGTAATCGATACTTATTAGGCTTCTAATGTGTAATTGATATATTTAATATAGGAAATGATTTTAGTTTTGAATTTTTTGATTTAATGAATTGGTTTAATAATGATATTAAAATTAAGATCTTTCTTAGGTGTGCCTTGCATACCATATGCAAGGCACTAACACTGTTTATGTTTTGGACTTACAAATTTTATGGTTTGAGTTGTACCAAATTTTATTAAAACTTACACATTGGTGACCTGCTAAGCAGGTCACGTTACACGTAAAATTAATAAAATAATATATTATATGACTAAAGGCGTAAGTTGTCACAAAAAGGCACAAGTAATTTCAAAAAAAAGCGTAAGTTTTCACGAAAGACACAAGTAATTTCCAAAAAAGGCGTAAGTTTCACGCCGTAAGTTTCATGAAAAGACGTATGTAATTTCATGAAAAGGGATAAAAACTTACACCATTTATGAAAAAATTTACACATTTTGTGAAAACTTACATCTTTTGTGAAATATCTCTTTGTGAAAATTTACAAATTTTGTTAAAACTTACATATTTTGTGAAAACTTATACATTTTGTGAAAAAACTTACACATTTTGTGAAATCGTAAACCTTTTTGTGAAAAAACATACACCTTTTGTGAAAACTTTGAAAAAACATACACCTTTTGTGAAAACTTAAGGTGTAAGTTTTTTCACAAAGAGATGTAAGTTTTAACCAAAGGTTCAAGTTTTTTCACAAAAAAGTGTAAGTTCTAGCAAAAAGTGTAAATTTTCACAATGAGAGTATTTCACAAAAGGTGTAAGTTTTCACAAAATGTGTAAATTTTCACAAAGGTGTAAGTTTTAATAAAATGTGTAAATTTTATCAAAAAAGTATTTCACAAAAGGTGTAAGTTTTGGCAAAAAGTGTAAGTTGTAACAAAATGTGTAAATTTTATAAATAAAAAAAAAAGTTTTTCACAAAAGATGTAAATAATTTCACAAAAGGTGTAAGTTTTAATCAAAAAATATAAATTTTATAAAAGAAATTATTTCAAAAAATGTGTAAATTTTCAAAAAATGTGTAAGTTTTTTTCACAAAAGATGTAAGTTTTCACAAAATGTGTAAATTTTATGAATGAAAGTATTTCAGAAAATGTGTAAGTTTTTACAAAAGGTGTAAGTTTTTTCACAAAAGCGGTATGTAATTTCACAAAAATGTGTAAGTTTTTACAAAATGTGTAAGTTTTAATAAGATGTGTAAATTTTATGAAAAAAAAAAGAGTATTTCACAAAAAATGTAACTTTTTTCACAAAAGGTATAAATTTTATGAAAAAAATATTTCACAAAAATATAACTTTCACTACAACAAAAAGGGCCTTTGGTGACAGACTGATTTCGTCTCCAAACATCAAAATTTCGTCACTAAAGTGATCTGTGACGAAAAAAATTTGTCACCACGTTCGTGGCCTATACGTCGTCACAAAAAGTACCTGGTGACGAAAAACAGTTTTTTCACAAAATATGTAACTTTTCTGAAAATGTATAAGTTTTTCACAAAAGGTGTAAGTTTTAACAAAATGTGTTAATTTTATGAAAGATAGTATTTCACAAAAGGTGTAACTTTTCACAAAAGGAGTAAGTTTTTTCACAAAAGTTGTAAGTAATTTCACAAAAAGGTATATGTTTTCACAAAAGGTGTAAGTTTTAGCAAAATGTGTAGATTTTATGAAAGAAGTATTTCACAAAAGGTGTACGTAATTTCACAAAATGTGTAAATTATATGGAAAAAAAAATATTTCAAAAAAGATGTAAATTTTCAAAAAAATGTGTAAGTTTTTCACAAAAGGTGTTAGTAATTTCACAAAATGTATAAGTTTTTCACAAAATGTGTAAATTTTTTGAAAGAAAGTATTTCACAAAATGTGTAACTTCTCACAAAAGGGATAAGTTTTTTCACAAAAAGTATAAGTAATTTCACAAAATAGTGTAAGTTTTAATAAAAGGTATGTTAGGTTTTATTTTTTGGCAATCCCGTTTGACAAAACTCCTTTGAGTTGTAATTTTATTCGCATTTTTATTTCAGTGAGGCTATGAGTTTTTTCATATAAGGTGTAAGTTTTAACAAAATGTGTAAATTTTATGAAAAAAAAGTATTTCACAAAATGTGTAATTTTTTTCATAAAAGGTGTAACTAATTTCACAAAAATGTGTAAATTTTAGCGAAATGTGTAAATTTTATGAAATAAATTATTTCACAAAAAGGTGTAAAATTTTATAAGATGTGTAAGTTTTTTCATAAATTGTGTAACTAATTTCACAGAAAGTGTAAATTTTATGAAAGAAGGTATTTCACAAAAGGCATAACTTTTCAAAAAATGAGTAAGTTTTTTCACAAAAGGTGTAAGTAATTTCATAAAATGTGTAAGTTCTCACAAAATATGTAAGTTTTAACAAAATGTGTAAATTTTATGAAAGTCAGTATTTCACAAAAAGTATAACTTTTCACAAAAGGTGTAAGTTTTTTCACAAAATGTGTAAGTAATTTCACAAAAGGTATAAGTTTTTCCAAAATGTGTAAGTTTTAACAAAATGTATAAATTTTATGAAAGAAAGCATTTCACAAAAGGTAAAAGTTTTTTCACAAAAGGTAGAAGTAATTTCACAAAAAGTGTAAGTAAATTCACAAAAGGTGTAAGTTTTCACAAAGGGTGTAAATTTTATGAAAAAAAGTATTTTACAAAAAGTGTAACTTTTCAGAAAATGTGTAAGTTTTAACAAAATATCTAAATTTTATAAAAAAAAATATTTCACAAAAGGTGTAACTTTTCAAAAAAATGTGTAAATTTTTTCACAAAAGGTATAAGTAATTTCCCAAAAAGGTGCAAGTTTTTACAAAAGATGTAAGTTTTAACAAAAGCTGTAAATTTTATGAAAGATGGTATTTCACAAAAGGTGTAAGTTTTTTTCAGAAAATATGTAAGTAATTTCACAAAAATGTGTAAATTTTAAGAAAATGTGTAAATTTTATGAAAGAAAGTATTTCACGAAAATGTGTAAGTTTTCAAAAATGGTGTAAGTTTTCACAAAATGTATAAGTTTTAACAAAATGTGTAAATTTTGTAAAGGAGAATATTTCACCAAAAGTGTAAGTAATTTTACAAAAAAGCGTAAATTTTTACAAAAGGTGTAAGTTTTCACAAAATGTGTAAGTTTTAACAAAATGTAAATTCTCATGAAGAGAGTATTTCACAAAAGGTATAAATTCTACAAAAATTTTTAATAATAGAAAAATGTGTAAGTCACTACAACAAATTGCACTTTTGGCGACTAAATTTGGCGACCAAAAAGAATTTAGCTGCCAAAAGTTACATTTTTGGCAGCTAAAAAATTTTGTAGTCGGCGTTGGTTCAAGGTATAGTTACTATATTATTTTAGTCGAAATATATTATTTATTGGCAACTGAAAAAAATATTTAGCCGCTAAATATGATGTGAATATGCGATTAAAATAATTTTAGTTTGCGTAAGTCTAAATTTTAGGCTATTAATTCTTGTTTTAGTCATCGTATACAATTATTTGTCAACAAAGGGATGTTTAGTCACCAAATAACAAGCTTATTTTTGGGTTACTCTTTGCCTATCAAATAATTTTGTCAACAGATATAAACTTTTGGTGACTAAAAAAATTTAGTCGTTGTATGTTCAATTTTTGCCATCAACAAAAAAAATATTAGTTGCCAAATTATACTTTTGGCTACCAAAGTTTAGTCATTATTGATTAATATTTGCCAACAAATAATAGTTTAGTCACTAAACGTTGAAAATTTTATTGCCGCCTACGCCCCTGTTCTCTGTTTCACACAAACACTTTTTTCTCTATTATCTCTCACACACACCGAACAGTCACCACCAAACCTCACCTCCGTTCACCACTGATGCTCACCACCCCACCGTCGCTGGCCACCATTGCTCGCCACCGTCGCACATCGCCACCGCCACCACCACTGCCACCGCCGCAAATCACCACCGTAGCTCTTCCAATTGGTTAGGCACGCAACTAACATGAAATTTCTTTAATGTTAATATTACCAAGTTTTAATTTTATTTTATAATTATTAAATAAAAAAAAAATTAACATAAATTACCAATAAGTCCTACTTTTGGGACTTGTTACCCATTAAGTCTTATTGATAAATTTATCAGTCCTGTAGGTGAATAAGTCTAGTTAACAAGACTATTGGTAAGTGACTACAAAATTTATTAATTAACTATAACAGTTCAAATAATTATTTTATTAAATTATTAATGTAAAATGTTAAATTACTTTAATGTTAATATTAATTAAATTTGTTGCTATTTCTAATAACTATTAATAATTAAATAATAAATTATTAACAACATAATAGTAGTTATTTTAAAATATAATTATTACTTATGGATTAAAATCATAAAATTCCCTAAATTTATTTTGCATTTAGAATATTAATTAAACTTTAATAAAGATAAAATTACAAACATAAATAATAAAACTTAAAAAAATGTATAAATTAAGACCAATTTTTATTACAAAATTTTATTCCAAATTCAAATCTCTTCTCAATATTTGAAACCAACCTTCCAAAATTGTACTTACCTTAAAATTCCCTCTTAAAATTTGACCTAAATTTCTACTTCCTCTCAAAAAAAAAAAAAAAAAAAAAAAAAAAAAAAAAAAAACACAAGAGCAAAAACTTGCTAGAGAGAGAGAGAGATGCATTTGAGAGAGAAAGACTAAGGCCAAGTTTGACATGTCTTGAAAAAGATAAAAAGTCAAAAAGTCACTATCTTATTTAAGTCACATCATCTTATTTAAGTCACATCATCTCTCTTATACATCACTTCAAACCCAACCCAAACCCAACCCATATGTCATAAAAATTCAAAAAGTGTAATTATTTAGATCATCCCAAACAATCCCAAACAACCCTAAAGACAAAGAAGAGAACATGAAGAGAAGACAAAGGGAAGAGTAGTCATTCGGAGCGACAGCTTTGCTTGCGACGGTCATTGCTTTGTCCGGTCGACGAAGACCCACGAACAACGCAGACAAAGCCATCTCACCTCTCCCTCTGGCCGAAGCTCTCGTACCTCTTCCTCGCATCGCCAAATTTCAGGTACATGTTCAGATATTAGGGTTTTGAGTTCTGATTTGAGGCTTTCCAATTTTAAAATTAGGGTTTAGGGTTTTTCAATTCAAGTCCTTCTCTGTCGATCTTTCTCCCTCTTTGTCGATCTCGACCGCAAATCATAGGTTTTTCTCTATCGATTGTGGTCTCTGTGGATCTCGACCGTCACAAATCACAGGTTTCTCTCTCTCGGTCTTTCTCCCTCTGTGTCGATCTCGGTCGCAAATCACAGGTTTTTCTGTGTCAATCTCGGTCTCTCTGTCGATCTTGGCTGTCACAAATCACAAGTCTCTCTTGGTCTTTCTCCCTTTCTGTCGATCTTGGTCGCTCTCTGTCAATCTCGGCCGCAAATCACAAGTTTCTCTTTCTCTTGGTCTTTCTCCCTCTCTGTTGATCTCGGCCACAAATCACAGGTTTTTCTCTCTTTCTGTCTAGGTCTTTCTCTCTCTATGTCGATTTTCAGTAATTTATAGGGAAACTGTGATTTTTGCTTTTGGTTTAATCTGAAATTGGCAGTTTGAACAGATGAGTAAGGGCTTCAAACTTGTTATGTGTACTCACTAATCACTATACTTGTGGACTTGTATAAGGTCTTTTCATAAAACAGAACAAACTGAAAAGACTAAAATGCTTCGTTTAAGAAAATTACTCCTTTTAATGTTATCTTGTAAACCTTTTTTAGAGCCTTATTTGGTATGGATCGAACAATTATTTGCTATGTTTGATAAGGCAGTTTGTAATGGTGGTTTCTAGGTTTGGTTATATGTATCCATTGTTGAACTTTTTGAAGGCATACATAATGTTGTAATTATTGAAGTTATTGCTACTTGGTTTTTTTATTTTATTTTATTTATTTATATATATATATATTTTAAGATTAATATATTTGTGGAATTGTAGGGAGTGGCTGATTGAGTCTGTCTTAGTCTCTTGCCTACTAGTAAGGGTAGTTGGGTTACTATTGCAAGGGCATTGAGGTATTTTTCTCTGATTATTTTATAGTTCGTACCTCTTGATGACTTTCTCATTCCTTGCACCTTAATATTATACATTTCTACACCATGCTATTTTTTTGGGTTTAAACTTCTTTCACAAAGTGTTCAAATGGCCGCTGAAATTTGAATTTCATTCAATGTATGTGTTCTATCCTCCCAAAACTACTTTGTTATTAGCCGAACAACTTTGCCTTTGCAGTGGAACCTGTTATTGTATCTTGGGTCTTTTGTTATTGTATCTTGGGTCTTTTCTTGGATTTTCAGAGGTCCATAATTTCCTTATTCATACCCTCCATATTAGTTTACATAGATGATTCGTCCTTTAATTTCCTTTTTCCAGTTGTAATTTATGTGATTATGTGATTTTGAAGTTCATTTAAGCCTTGATAGAGTTGTTTTTGTGTTATTTTAATGTTTTGTGGCTGAATCTATGTTGCCCCAGTTGCTCTCTACAGGCTTGGTAGGTCCACTACTTGGATGTGTTGGATGATATTTTATAAGTGCTATTGAAGATTTGTTATTGTTATCATTATCATTATGGTTTTATAGAGGAAAATTTTGATTGTTTATGTGCTGAGGCAACTTATTGCCTTTTGTGAATATTTGTGTTGATAAGAAGATTTTAAATTTAGCTCAATTGATTGAGTCATGGACTACTGAAACAATTAGTCAAGATTAAAATGGCTATACTATTTGAAACTAATTAATGGATGTAATAGGTGGTCATTATTATGTACATGGTTCCTTTGTCATGTCTTATGTTTGCTAGGTATATAGTATGTTTGCTAGGATGTGTGATCCTTCCATTTGGCTTTAGTTTTTGGAAATTATTTTCTCTCTTGTTTTTATTTTTAATTTTTTTTCATTGATGCTTGTGACTCGAAATAGTAACTTGGGTTATTTGCTCTCAAGGAACCACAAAACACACGGAGTCATTCAATGTCTCTCAACAACCAAAGTTTAAATTCTATTTTAAATTTTGTAGTAATCAGTGTCTTTATATTGCCGGAACTTATGTTTAGAAACAAATGTTTCTTTGAGTGCTGAAGTTCATGCATAGTTGACGGAACTGAACTTAAAACATAGGAAACACAATTCAAATAGTTGAAACAATGATGAATCAATTTGTGTAAAGAAGACAATTCAAATAGTTGAAATGATGATGATTTTCAATTTGTGTAAAGAGATATTCCTTCCCCACACACTTTTACTGATCCAAAGAAGACTCGAGCATCTGGGGAAGTGTTAAAACAATCCATGGACCACTCTCTAATCTCAGAACTGGAATCACCGGTGATTACAAACATTTCTTTTCCCAGAGTCCAACCCTTCACTTTCATGGCTAGCCTTTCCAAGAACTTAAGTGGTTGGAGATAATGGCTGAAAACCAATAGCTTCTCATCACCTGATTCGCACAAGCCTAACAGATTAAGGAAGAACTTTGCCTTCCCTCTTTCTCTAATATCCAACTTCTCTAAGACCTGGTCCATCCGCATCGTCAAGCCCCTCTCTCTCTGGTTGACGTGTCTCTAGGTGAACTCTTTCGGAGAGATCTCAATTAAGGGGGCACATAAAGTGTGCTTCCATCCAAGCTGATTGTGAACTTCCTAACTAAGTTCTTCAGTTCTTCAACTTCACGCTTCTATCTAGGGCTGAGGTGAAGAAATGCAGTAAAGTCAACAGGCCTAGATAATTCATCAAGAAAATCTCCTTTATAGAAATGGAGAACCTTGCCTGTCATTTCACGCAAGTCTTGAATGACAGTTACCTTTCTCTTGAAATTCTCATCTTTCTGTAATGCTCGCTTTACTGATTCATACAACACATTGTCCAAACCCTTTGCCTTCACATGCTTCCTCATGCTCGACACTTTGCTCAAGATTCGCCTCATAATCGTGCGAGAAGTATCCATCCTCAAGGATTTCGGGAATTGTTTGTTGTAGTCAAAATTGCTAAGACTAGTTACAATGCATGCCACAATGAAAACAAAGTTTAGAATTAAAATCATGTGTATTAGGCTTTATGAATACTTGAGATGATCTAGTTTTTTCATTTTTCATTTTTCATTTGTTGGTTTTTACAAAATAGATAATTTTTCTTTTCAATCTAAAATGAGGGAGACAATACTTAAACATGGTTCTCAAATGTCCATGTGTTATTTTCCTAACATTCAGTGCTATGTTGCATGATATCCTTGGCAGATTATTTGCAACCTTGTTAAGTTATGGTTTCATGTTGCAGGTTGTTGAGGCTACTAAGACTATAGCAAAAAGCATTGTAGATATGCATAATGTGGTTGAAGAGGACTCAGAATCTTCGAAGGATGATGATATGGAAGGATCTGCAGTTCAAGGAGAAAGTGAAGATGCGAATGATAAACGGCGTAAGGCTGCTTTGGATAAATTAGAAAAGGCTAGTGAAGATAAATCCTTGGCCAGTCATGTCATGTCACGCCCTCAAAATAAACCCATTATATATATATCATTGGCATGCAATATTAAAAGAAACCAAATCATTATCTCATTCATCAAAGTATTACAAAAAGAAAACATTACATGTAATATCAAATTAAATGCCCTATGGGCTTACATCTTTCCAAGCCAGCACTTGGACACAAAAATATGAGTTCTAACTCAAATACAAATAAAGCCCTAGGCTTGAATGTTTATCAAATACGAAAAAATAACTAAAGATAGTCTTCAAAATCCAAATCCTTCCAAGCTAAGTCCTTGGAGGTAGCTTATCACCTGGACCTGAAAATGATGTTCCCATAAAGGGTGAGCCACAGCCCAGTAGAAATATACTAAACCAAATATAAGCATTGAATAAAGCAATAGCATTCAATAGATGGTTAACCAAGATAATCAATTTTATCATTAAACAGTCTCATGACACTAATGTCTAAGACACATTTCACTTTCCATTATTATCAACATGGCTCAGAACCTGGCCAAACTTACAACAGTGAATTATATATCATATTCACATTACTTCCAATATCAACAAAACAAATGAGACTCATGCTCATATCAAAACACTTCATACTTCCCATTTGATACACATTTTAGTGCTGTATCAACAACATGCAAAAACACTTCAAATAGAAGTTGAATAAAAAAAGAAATGGAAAGTGCATAAAATTAAACATGGAAGTTCATTAGAGAAACCACTATACCTTAACGATCTATTTGGAAATTAAATAAAAAAAGAAATTTGAATAGAAAAGAAAATTGAATAAAAATGGAAGTTGAATAAAAATAAAAATGAAAGTTGCAGAAAATTCAACTAGGGTTTTTCCCAAAATTATCAAAGTAACCCCAACATATCAATATACTAAAACTTAGAACAAAACTTATAAGGTGGAGTAGGAAATCCCTACCTCGAAGAAAACAACCCAAATGGTGAAGACAGAGATGAATACCCAAATACCAATGTGCTCCAAATCACCCAATGTTCAGATTAAATGGAAGCCCTCGACCCACTCTATCTTTTTAACAAAGAACTTAGGGTAGAAATACACTCTAAGTAGATCAAACCTAAGAGAGAAGGTGAGTAGAGGGAGAGAAAAGTCGGACCTAGGGTTTTGGAATCAAAAAGAGGATAAAAACTGATTAAAATCCTGCTGCTGCCTATTTAAACTGGACAGGCTCGCTCGAGCGAAGACTTGGTCGCTCGAGCTACCAGACACACGAAAACCTCGCTCGAGCGAAGAAAAGCTCGCTCGAGCCAAGAATGCAATGCTTCAGGTCTGCAACCCTGGAGCAAGCTCGAGCGACAGAATGCTCGCTCGAGCAAGGAACTCGAAAACATACACCTCGCTCGCTTGAGCGAAGAAAATCTCGCTCGAGCGAATAAGCACTGCCCTCAGGTCTATACCAGACGCAGTCGCTCGCTCGAGCGAAGCAAATCTAGATCGACCCAGAGGACACAAAAACCAACCTCGCTCGAGCGACCAAATCCTGGCTCGAGCGACCAACCCAAAAACTGGACAGCAACACTTGGTTTACGAACCCAACCAACCTGAAACAAACCTGCCCAACACATCCTATAACTCCAAATGAGAAAATAAAGGACGACAACAACTCGCTCGAGCGAAGCAAATCTGGATCGAGCCAGTGGACACAAAAACAAACCTCGCTCGAGCGACCAAATCCTGGCTCGAGCGACCAACCCAAAAACTGGACAGCAACACTTGGTTTACGAACCCAACCAACCTGAAACAAACCTGCCCAACACATCGTATAACTCCAAATGAGAAAATAAAGGACGACAACAACAAATATACAATGACAGAATAAACGGAACCCAAGTCCGGATACAATAATCAAATGGGAAAAGACCGGGGTCGCTATATGTCACAAATACGAGAATTTAAATAAAGTGTATCTTGGGTTTGTCTTTTCTTGGATTTCAAAGGTGTATAATTTCCGTATTCAGACCCTCCATATTTGTGTACAGAGGTCATTCGTCCTTTAAATTCTTTCTCCCTAAACTTGTGTTGGTCTCATCAATCCATGATTCTGGAAGGATGGACTGTGTACTGATTTAGGCTTTACTTTTTTCTTTTTTTCTTTTTTTGTGCTTGTCCTCGGATTTCTATCTCATTCTTTTTGTGAGTTAAAAATTAAAATGGGGCACTAATTCTACCTCCGATTACGAAACCTATCTCTTTTTCTACTACTCTTTATTCTCTTGGATCCTATGACTAAATTTGTTTGGTAATTGTTTCTTGGGGTTGTTGCCTAAATATTGTATGTGATGGTTATGGGTTGCATTTGACAAAGAATAGTGAGTGGCTACTCTTTCACTGTTATTGTTACAACTTGTTTTTGAAGTGGTAGAACTTTTAATGTTGTAGGTGAGGCAATAGGAATCCTTTGATTTTCAATTAACATTCAAAGAAACTTCCAGAATCCAGGAAATTTAAAAAATACTAAATATATGAAAGTTGTGTGTGCAAGCTTGTAGATGCCCATTGACCAATTATTATGGTAGACTATGGCTGATGGGGTCACAGTCACTTATTTCTTGCCCGAAAAGGTCCTAAATTTTTTTCTGCTAATTAAATGATTTTTGTCTCGTGTCTTTCAGGCTTTAGAATTCTACTGTAAATATTGCTAAATCTATTCAATAGGGGGGTATACCATCAGTTGGTTCTGTTTCCCCATCCTTAATAGAGGTACTCATGACACTTATCATCTTATTAATTGCTCGTAGTAACTTATTTTTGTGCCATTGTTTTATAGAGTGGAAAAGCTTTTACTGCAAAGAGAATGCAAGATCAACATATATTTTGTGCATAGTTTACCTTCGCATCTTGCTTGTATTCAGCCACAATACTCAAAATGTGTCTGCCCTTGTAAAAAATGTGTGTACATACGCAGAGGGCTTCAAACTAAGTTGATTTAAATCTTCAACACTATACCTTGTGGCATATACTTTTAGCCTCAATGTGCAAATCTCACAAAGCTTTGAAAATGATCCAGGATAAGATTTTGAATTTCAGTATTGTCTTAGGCTATTGGAAATAACTCTAGTGGTCTAGCCTTAAGGCATCGATTATATTCCTCACGTGTGTTTGACGAAAGGTGTGAACCTCAATTAAATGCATGTTTTGAGTGTAAGCTTCACATGGTGGCAAAATTGATTTGTCTTATTACATGTAGGAACAAGGTTTTCAAATTTATTCAGGTTTATATATCACTACAAAAAATTCATTTTTTTGCGACGGTAAAATACCGTCGCCAATACCAAAGAACCCGTCTCAAATGTTTTTTTGCGACGGTAAATTGCCTTTAGCGACGGTAGTAGGGGGGTCGCAAAAGACGGGGTAGCTAAAGGTCTTTAGCGACGGTAAACGCCGTCGCAAAAACATTGGCGACGGCAAAGATGCCTTTTAGCGACGGCAAAATGCTGTCGCAGTAAAGGTGTAAAAATCTGAAGTTTTTGAGACGGCAGTAAAATACCGTCGCTAATATGGTTATTTGCGACGGGAAAATACCGTCGCAAAAGGGTACAATGAGTAATTATGATGAAATCCCAGTTAAATCATACCCATAAGGAATTTAGATGAAGCAAAGTGAAAAATAAAAGGCACACATGAAGAAAATATGCAAAGATGTTACTGGAATAAAAACACTAGTGGTTCAAAAAACAAAGAACAATAACTGTGCACATATAGTGATTAGTTTACAACACCTTGCTTTAGGGCAAACGGCTGCTGGAGATAATCAAAAGCTTCAGGAATTAGTTCTACATTCTCCAATAATACTTTTTCTGCATGAGAAAATCATCAAAAAAATTTCAATGCACATGCCATCTAAATGTAAAAAGAAACATCTTTGTACATATCAACGTAGGGATGATAACAGCAGACAAACTATTATATAAATAGATTTTAGACAGGTTGAAGAACAAAATTCAATTAACAGAATAAGCAACAAACAATGTCTTAGATGCATCACCTTCTATAAATTCAAAATTCAACTCCATTTCCCAACTCAAAATTCAAAATTTCGTTGAAGAATGATTTTCGACCGAGGACAAAAACACAACACAACGAGGAATCATTTTCGAAAGGAAGAAGACGAACCTAGAATGGCCGTTCACAGTCGTTCACAGCCGCTCGTCAGTCGTCGTTCACCGTCGTGGCTGCTCGTCACTCCGGCGAAGGCTGTCGTTCAATGATTTTGATTTGAGGATTTTGGGGATCAGTCGATTGGGAGTTGGGGGATTTTAGGGATTTCGGTTTCAGGGATTTTGATTTGAGGAATTTGGGGATTTTAGGGACTTCAACCGCGAATGGGATAGAAATAGCGGGATAAACGAAATATTCATTTATTTGCGACGGTATATTTTAACCGTCGCAAATGATCATGATTAATGAATGAAACGACGTCGTTTTGTCCTTCGTTTTTGGCGATGGGCTTCTGCCGTCACAAATGGTCCACCATTTGCGACGGTAACTTCTTACCGTCGCTAAATAACACGTTTGCGACGGTATACCGTGCGTCGCCAATGTTTTTGGAATTTTCTTTTTACAATCTTTAGCGACGGAATCATCCCCGTCGCAAAAAGCCAATTTTTTATCGACGGCAAACACACCCCGTCTCAAAAAACTTCTTTGGCGACAGCAAACACACCCCGTCGCAAAAAACCATTTTTTGCGACGGCAGTCACCCCGTCGCAAAAACCTCCGTGTTATTTGCCTAATTTTCTTGTAGTGTATATTTGGAATGTTATGCTAAATGAGTTGGGAATTTACATGTTTGGGTCGATTTGCAATGAGTGACATTTTATAATTATTCCAGGCAGATTCAAATGATCTGATGCATCAGGCTCAGATATTCCTGTATGCAAATGGAAACACTCATCCTCCAACAGCAATCAATCTTAACAAGTCACTATTAAGGGACTTGTTATTCAACCAGAGTCCTGCCAAGGTATGTATTAACTTGCTTATAGTTTCTTTTTGACATATGATTTGCTTCCAACAGAAGTCCTGATATCTACTCAATATTTGATACATGATTAGCTTTCTGGTTGATTATGTTTGTGCATGTGAGCATGTTTTAATCTTTGCTAAATTCCATTTTGTTGCTTGTGGTCCAGAATGTTTGCCCTGGCATCTGTGTCAATGAGGTCAATCCCTTTTGCACCAGTTTTAGAGAAGCTCTCTCTTTCTGAGATGAAGTATGGCTCTGTTAGGCGGTTTTATATAGAAACTCTGAAAGATAATGCTATATCCACCACAGTACAGGAAAACATGATAAACAAAAGCCCACCCAAATAGGTTTTTCATCTTAAAGGTGCCGACCACTCCCCTTTTTTTCTCAAAACCCCAAGCTCTACATAAGCTATCGGTAGAGATCTCAAAGATCCCATCAACTTAACATCTGTTTGCTAGTAAAAAAAATGTTTAGCACCCAAATGTCTACTTGGGGATTTTAATTAATTTAACATGTTCATATCCAAGTTCAGAATTCAATTTTTCTGCACTATGAGAAAATCTTCACAAGAAATGTTGTAGGGTTATTTTATTTTATTCTTTTTTTTTTTGTTTATATATTTGATGTTTTATGATTCAAGGAAGGATGTTCATTAAGCCTATGAAAATGTTGAATCGAACCTATGATTAATTGGATCCTACAAATAGTGCATAGAGATATGCATAGGTATATTTGCTTGGGATGAAATTTTTTCCATAGGCCTGTTGCCAATTAATTTTTTGAATTTTTAATTGAGATTTTATTTCAATTTTTGGTTGGAATATATTGCTTCCTTTCCTTTCAAGCTACACCAATCCAGAACAACATATGTGAAATGTGGTGCATTATATGTGTGTTCCCTGTTATTAAAATTCTAAGACAAATTTTTGGGGATGGCAAGCCCAAAAACTCACACCAACAGTAGCGCTCTCTCTCTCTCTCTCTCTCTCAAGGTGCTGCGTCGTACTCCAACTATTGGTTGACAGCTGTAGTTATAAATGTGACATGATGGAGAAAATTTTATTGATTGGTCATGAGGTATTTCTAGGCTAATCACAAATTCCTATGTTTTTTCATGTTTTTTTTCGTATCACTCTATAAAATTTGAGTCTTATCTCCTTTACTAGTCACAATGATGTTGTTTCTGAACCAACCAATAATTATGTTATTTTATTCTTTTGATTTTGTCCTCATGCATTTTAAAATTATTGAATTATTGGTGGTTTTTTTTTCAATATAACTTAATTGTAATTAAAACTACTTACAAAAAAATTAAAGACAGAAGACACATGACAAATCAAAATAAACTTGATCGGTGAGGCTTACAAGTCTATTTATATATGTTTTTTTATTTTAAAAAATTTGTGTCATAGTCCTTGACGCACGGTTTATGCCACAAATAATTTTGTCGCCAAAACGTTATGTTTGGCGACTAAGTTCGTTTTAGTAGTCGAAGATAAAATAATTAGTAACCAATGTCAATTTAGTCGCCATTGACTATTGCCGACAAGGCTTTGGCGACCAATGAGGCGATGAAGAACTTTAGTCACCATAGCGGTAGGGTGAAGGTGGATGTGGTGGTAGGGTAGTAGAAATGGCGGTGGTGGTGTAGGGAGTGACTGGTGGTGCTAGAGTAGTGGTTGTAGTGGAGTTCAAGTGGTGATAAGGCATGACAACTGTTGTAAGAGTGGTGGTGGTGGTGGTGAAATCGGTGATGTTGTAAGAGGTGGGGTACCCTTTATCCAATCCATTTGTTTCATTAAATTTTAAGTTTGTAAGATAAAAGTCATTTAAATTATGACGAATTTCTCACATAAAATTACATAATTATTTAATGCTAATTAAATTTATAAATATTTATACACAAGCATCAACATATACCATTATAACCTCACAATCGTTACAATTATCACCAATATTGTTGCTACCATCATCACCGTCACTGTCACTGTCACCACCATTATCAAGCTACCATTGCTATTACCACCATCTTCATTATCATTATCATCATCACCATAAAACATACTATCATTTCACTGCCAGCATCACAGTTTCTATTATCATTGTCACTGCCTCTCCACCACCACTTTTACTAATACAATCATTCACTTCCATAATCATTACCACTATTACCAATGATTTTTTTAATTTTGGGCTTTCAAAAATCCAAACTAAAAGTAAATTATTTTATTAGTCGGGCACATGAACACGTAGTATTCTTGATCTATTGGATAATTTATGCAAATAGTAGCATTTTTTAATTAATTTGTTGTCTAATTAATTCTAAAATATTAAAGCTTTGTTTGACATTAGCTACAGTAGCCAATTTTTTTAAACAATAATAAATTGCACCAAACAATCTTTATATTGGGAAGTGCCATTACTAGCTAGTTTTTTTTTTTTTTTTTTTAAATAAAAATAAACTAGCCCTATATCTTTTTTTCTTTTTCATTTTTTTTCCCCCTTTGTTCAGAACTTCATGCATTTTGCTTTTGATACCTAAGGGTATTACTTTTGGATTGGCCACCTGGCCAAACCTACATAACTTCAATCAGAGCAATTCCAATGGTTCTGCCAAATGCTTTGCCAGAAAATTGTCTTCCATTCACAAAATCACTCCTCTAATGGTGAGGATCACGGTTTTGTTAGTGAGTAAAATATCTTTAGGTTCTGTCACTGTATTTAAAGTTCTCTTATTTCCTACTGCTGTAAAAAAATTTCTTTGGGAATGATTTCCTTCTGTCGATCATCCTTCAAATTAATGAACCAACCAAAGCTAATAAAGAAAGATTATTTGGAGAACATTGTACATAATGCTTTAGATCAAATGAGCTCACTCAATCATCTGCATTGCACAATTACAAAATGATAACTTAGATCAAATGAACTCACTCAATTATCTGCATTGCACAATTACAAAATGATAACTTAAATTGAACCCAAGTTTTGCAATATTGTTTTGCAACATTTTAACAATTTTGCTAAACCGGCTACAACATTCATAACCAGATTTTTTTCCCCCTTAGAAACACTATCCTTTTGATCTACATCAACAACATAAAAAAAAAAAGAAATTTAAAAAATTATCAAATTGACAGCGACCCTAGATAATAATAAACCACTGGAGGCATGATTCACTGTCCTCCAGTTCCCCAACAATCTAGGTCTCTTATATTCGGCAGGTCTTTAGAAAAGGATCTGCAAACAAATCAAATTTTAAAACATAATCGTTGCCATTTAAAATTTTGCATAGCTTAGTTCCAATAGCAATTTAATCTACACAATTCAACAAACAAATTGAAAGGTAACATGCTTCAATAGCAACATGACATCTTTTTCAATTCATTCAATTATCTCATTATCAATTGAATCAAATAATTAAACAATTCATAATGACGTCTAACAAAGCATCAAATACATTTTATATAATCTTATGAAATGAATGCATATGCCATGTCATGCTCAAAATATTTTTTTCATCTTTTGAAAATTTTATGCACAATGCCAATTTGAAAACACATTAATCCAACAATTTCAATAAATTCCAAGGTGGTAAATACGACTCAGGTAATCCCTAGGCTGGTGTCTGCAAGTAGGCATATCGAGCACTACCAAATCCCCACTTTACCAGTCTCTCACCGGAAGAGCAGTGGTTCCTCCTCCACGCGTGTTTTCGATCTTTCACCCTGGACACTCAGGCCAACTTAACCAACATTGAACTACACCCCCTATCCGGACTTACCAATGTATTTACCCAAAATAAATCAAAATGATTTGTTTCACCAAAAACAATTCCTCTTTCAAAATAATAGTTTTCAATTGCAATTCGAAATCCATAATAACAATGAAATGGAATGGCAACGCAATATGTAACAATGCATTAGAATATTTCCAATTTCAATTCTACCACACAATGCTCCATTGTGATCAATTTCCATATCTCTATCAATGTAATACTATGATACAATCCCAAGAGACAATATAATAATGTCAATGTTCATGTATTTACCACATGTAAATCAACAACTTCCCACTTAGTCTTTTCAAGAGAATTCAACAATATTCTTTATATAAAACAAACTTCCAAAATCAAACATTTTCTTACCTTTCCAAAAATCTCCTCATTTAAATACCAACATGGTAATCCTTTACCGGTTACCAAAACCAAAACTTTTAAACAATAGGTTTATTAATAGCAATAACATATTACACCAAAACGAGTTCAAGGTTTCATCAATTTCTAACTCACATACTTTATCAATGAAATGTAATTACAATCTTTCCAAAAATCATCCCCATCCCAAAAAATAAATAGAATCAAATTCCCATTTTCTCATGCAAGTGAAATCTCGGGATTTTCAAGTTCAATCATAATTCTCAACAAGCATGAGTGAATATTCCAACACTTAATCAATTATATCAAAATCATCTCTTGACTATAATTATAAAATATAACACAAGTGTCCATCAAATTAAACCAAGGAAAAATAATAACTAAATAAAAGTTTTGATAACTCATTTTTATTTTAATCCAATTCATCCATTTACTTCAAGCGAGTTAAAAATCACATTCTATTCTTTTTTTGTCAAAAACCGCCAAACAATTCAAATATCTCATAAAAATTTTGAAGTATGAAATTATTATTGTAACATTACTCAACTGGTAAAACTAAGAACCCAATATCATACCACATCAACTCAATCTCACTTATTTCTCCAAATCTCATACTTGGTCAATTTCGTCACTTTTTACCTCATAATATTAAAGTTAGAAATTAAACCAATAACACCCCTTTAATTAAAAAGTATTTAAAATATTAACCAAACTAATTTAATTCATCAAATTAGTAAGTTCATTATTTTCACCATCTTCCAAATTAATAACACCCACCTTAACCTCACATGTCTCATCTCTCAAATACGCACACATTTCATGCTTAGCCAATTTTCCCTAAATCTCTACAAATAACAATTTCACAACTTTTTCTAAAATTACCTAATCAACATGATATTTACCTCAAAAATTATAAAATATGCCCAAGAGTAACATTTTCAAGGTTGTGAGTTCAAAAGTCCACATTTCACATTCTTATTTTCACAAAAATGAACACAATCTAATCATCAACATATTATCGTGCATAAAATATCATGACTATAACACTTTTAGAGTTTTTAATCCCAAAACAACTCTATAATCCCAACTCAACAATTTACACAATATTCCTCAATGCCAATTTATTTTTCTCAAAAATAAATTTCAAAACTCAATGATGAGATAAATATTTCAATATTATTTTCTCAAAAAAAAAAATATTATCTAACCATAATATGAGGTAGATACAACCAATACAACTATAAATTTTATTTTTGAATTTTTAACGGAATTATTAACACAAAATGATTTTCTCAAATCAAGTTTCAAATATCAATGTCCTTAACAATTCAACATAATTTTTCTTTCAAAAAATTACCAAACAAAAATTTGAAAAAAAAATATAAATATATATATGCAATACTTCTTCTAATGACATATTTTCTCAAAATAATCTTAACATAGCTTTAATGTAATAATATGAAGAAAGTCCCTACCTAAAATATAAAGAAAAGCAAATTCGAAAATGCAAATATCGCCCGATCATGGATCCAAGACCACCATTGCGAAGATCACGACGAGCTCTCTGACTTTCATTTACAATACTTTTGTCAAATCTCACTCTAAAGACTCTCATTTCAAGTTCAAAGTTGAGCAAAAATGGTGAACATGGAGAGAGAGAGAGAGAGAGAGAGAGAGAGACGAACAGAGAGGGAGAGAGCAGGAGCTCTCTGCTCCAAACCCAAAAAGAAATGAATGGGAAAGGGAAATGATGGACAAGGCAGAAAAGGGGAAAGCAACCCCACGTGGGTTTGCTTTCCTAAGAATGAGTTTTTCAAAAAAAAAAATATAATATAATTTTTTATAATAATACTTTTAAATTTTATAATATAAATTATAAAATGATATAATTTTTCTCACTACAAAATATAACATTTTTGTACACCACAAAATATAATATTTTGCTCACCCTGAAATATACATTCATTTTATTCATTATAATTTTTCACCATATGGTACACACAATAAAATCAACTATCAAATATTTATTATAATCCTATACAATAAATAATAAGAACTCCCAAAGTGGTTACTACCAATCACCTAATTAAAAAGGACCAAACAGTTAAACATGAATCATTAAACAAACTCAATTCAAATTAAATCTAAGTCATGGGTCCCACCCATAAGCCAAACATGGTCCAAACACCCAAAACTCAATTTCAAATGCTACTATAAATTAAACTGAATCAGTCTGCGAATTTTTAAAAAAATTTAAAAATAAATACTCACCATTAAATTTCAAAATTTTTATCCAACATGCTAGACTCTTATAAGAACAACATAAATTTTTTTTATAATTTTTGAGATCGAAAATTATATATTAAAAAAAATATTACAAAATTGAACCATTTCGCACAGAACTTTTCACAACACTCCAATCCAAATACTACTCAATTAATTTATGCACTGACTATTTAAAAAAATATATTTTGGGTTGTCATAGTCATAAAAGGAAAGAACTGATAATAAAGACCAACCAAAATACTCTTGTTTATCTTCTTCCCAGAAGTAGTAGATAGTCTTAAACTATGCCTATACTTTGATATAAAAATCAAGCAGCATGACAAACACTATAAAATGTAGAACAAGGCTAATAGTTTAAAAAGACAAATTCAAATAATCAAATGAAAATACTAGTATTGTAATACAGTAAAATGCACTCACAGATTTATATAGCATATGCCCTATAAATTTCTACACGTAGGCGACTAGACAAGCACTGCACCAACCAAAAGAGCAACTACTTGGGGCCAACTACACGAACTCTTTCGATAGTTTAGCTCAATATGCCCATACCATTCATTAAATCATTGCCTATTACCTTTCCTAAAAGCCCAAATGCAAATTCCTATAGGATTTCCTATAGTCCACATGAACCCGTCAATTTTTTCAGAGTATATGCAGTCTCAATTTGAAATCAACATAAATAAATAAAGAAAATGTGGTTTCCTGTTGGTTTCCTATGGCAGATTTGGAAGCAATAAGAAGGTCGAAACATTGCGGTCTTGCATTATCTTTGCTATCTTTTGGATCATTTTGTTGGAAAAAAATGATAGAATTTTTAATGAAAAGGAATCTGGAGTTGATGCTTTGTTGGATAAAGTGAGGCATCTCACATCAGTTTGGGCCTGTGTGTCTGCCTCTTTCAAGGACATACCCCTTTTTTCAATTACTAGGGATCGAACTGCTGTTTGTTATACTTAGGCGGTTTATTTTATGTTTTAGTTGACACTTCTTAGATTTTTACGTAGATCTCTCGAGTTTGTACAAGGACATCTTGTCCTCTCCTTATTTTCACCTTTTAGTTCAATAATATTGTTTTGTTGATGTTCAACGAAAAAAAAAAAAGAAGTGTTTTGTAAGTAAATTTTGAAACATCTATGACCTAGCGTTTTAGTTTCAGCAAGATAATGTATAGGATACAACTGCAAATCAATTCAATCTCCAAATTTGTTTCACTATTTCCATACTTGTTCATATTATTTGCAAATTTTAATACAAAGCTAAACCCAAAATCATCTGTTCTCACTTAAATATAGTAACTTTCAAAATAGAGTAAACCCATGCATTTAAGACCAAGAGAAAAACTCCCTTCTGTGCCATTCAGCCATTCAATCAAATCTAATTTCTCAAAATAAGAAAACCTATAAATCTGCAAGCAAAATTCAAGTTTCTTTAGAAATCCAAAATTTTATATGATGTTAATCCATGTGAATAAATTGAAGATGAGCAGAACATTTTCACATCAATCCTAAGCAAGAAACTGTATAAAGAACCAATTTTGATACATATTTGAACATACTCACATACTAACCTTCAAGAACTCTATTCATTCTATTCCTCTTACCAGCAAAGCTGCCTCTTTTTTCTGAGAACACACACACACACACACACACACACACACACACTCATTCCTCTGATTTCTTAAAGCTCAAACCCTGAAATCATTATCATCTAATCCATTAACACCAACACATCCACTATGTATACACTTGGGAGATACAGGTAAAAACTCAAAATTCAACAACCACATAATAAAAAAGGAATCAAAATGTCATAGCCCTCAATATATATGGAAACTACTAGAAATTATTTATAAAAAAACATATTCATAATTAAAATTGGAACAAGAATGATTTTTCTTTTTGACATATGATAAAGGGACACGCACAACTAAAAAGAGTGGGAATATATCGCCACGACAAGGTTAACATGGTTTCTGAGAAATAGAATTAAGAGGATTCTCAACAATCTTAAACCACATGTAACTAATCCATCAGGCTTCAATCAGAATTCCTTGCGAAGAAAGACAAGAAAATAAACTTCTAACATCTTTGATTAGGGAAAAAACAAACAAACAAAATCTTAAAGGTTATAGTACATTCATCAGTTGACATATATACTTAATGTGGGATTTGAAAATATTCTAAGGCATCTAGGTTGTACAATGCATTCATCAATTGCACCACATGCACACATGAATGGATTTGTTGAATAATAATCTTGTTAACAAACACTTGGACTAAGTTTCCAATGTAAAAAAGAAAAACACTAAAAAAAAAATCTAATAATAAGTAAAAAATGATACTCCAGCTGCGTAGGTCGCATTACCTTAATAAGCAGACTAAAATTTGAGTCTCCCTACCTTACCTAATAAAAACATGACAAAGGAAAAGAAAATACAATCAAAACATTTTTTTTAAAAAAAACAAAAAGAAAAAGAAAAAGAAAAAGAAAAAAATGAAGCAAGAAGAGAATAGAGATAGAGAACAGTATATCATGCAACACTAAACTCAGGTTGCTATGCAGCGCAATTTCCCCAAGGTTTAGTTTGGAAAGCAAAGAGCGTGCAAGTCGGGCCCTAATAGATGTACTTATCAAAAAATTAAATAAAATTGAATTTCATTAAGCCAGTGTCATCTTACTAAGTGAACAACCTCAACCTCATCATAGGGCACAATCAATGCTAGAAACTAGCAAGTTGTGCTAGATACAATTTAATTTATGAATTCAATTTCACCTTTCATCTGGATTAATAAAAATTCATACGAACTTAAATTGAATTGCCTATTTACCATTGCTCCATGAGCTTTGAATAATTTCTCCTATTTACCAACTGAATAAAAATCAAAACCAAGTTACACAGACAATTTAATCAATTAAAAATATAATAAATTAACTACAATGGATACATAAATAATCCCAACTCCGGACCTAATTTTTTCATGAAACAAATATTACATTCAAACTATAAATAGGCAAAAGATGAGATAAAATATAGAAAACAAAAATTAAAAAAAGAACAAGTAAGACAGCAACCAACTTGTAACGCCCTCGAAATAACACATTAAACCCATCAATATAGACATGCATTGGTAATAAAGATAAACATTCTTCTATTCATCAGAGTAGTTCTTTACACAAGTATTACATGTTAATCAACAAAAGCAAATGCCCTACGGGCTTACAGCTTTCCAAGTTAAAGTGCTTATCATCCTCAGATAGATGACCAGTCAGAAAGGACCATCCAGACTCTGAATGATTTATTGAGAATGCGTGTCCTTGATTTTCAGGGAAACCGGGAAAGCCATTTTCCATTGGCTGAATTCGCCTACAACAACA